GATGATCATTCCAATTTGCATGTCAATCACTATTGTAACAAGTTCATTAATTTCTTGTTGAACCAAATTTGCCTTGTTTTTAGAATTAGAACCAATTTTAATTCTGACAGTTTTAAATATGCAATCTTTAATCAAATGTCCTTTTCTTTCCACAATGGAAACATATTTTATTCTTGTTAAATTTGGATTCTTAAATCCATTCTTCTTGACTTTAAAATTATTTTGAAATTTATCAGAAGACTTGTGAGTTTTTCCAAAATTTTGTCCACTCACATAATTCACATTGGAACATCTAAGAAAGAGTGCATCTCTTGCACGATTTTTCGCTTCAACTGTATATGAGTATGAAATTCTTCAATAGTGAAAGTATCTGTTGAATGCATAACTTTTTTCCTATATCCATTCCAAGAAAGATGAGGTTTTGACAAAATAGCTTTCAACTTGAAGTGAATCAGGAACCTTAATTTCTAGCCCACTTAACTTAAAAACCAACATTTGTAACTCGTGCACTTGGTTAATGATTGGTTTATCATCAGTTATTGAAAATTCAAAGTATTTCAAAGCCAAAAACTCATTCATACCTTTTTTTTTGTTCATGTATTTGTGTTCAAAAGCAGTCCATATCTTTTTTGGTGTTTTCATATTTCTGTATTGGTCATATAGACGGTCAGATAATGAATTCAAAATATAACATTGGCAGATTAGTTCATCTTTTTCACGTTTTCTTCTCGTTGCCTTAATAGCATTAGAATCTTCAAAAGTTAGTTTTGAAATTGGTTCCAAATTTAAATCAAGTACATAAAACATCTTCAATGCACTCAATAGAAAAACCATTTTATCCGTCCACCTAGTTTAGTTCTATTAAAACAATCAAGTCTGATTACATCTTTATTTTTGAAAATAAATCTTCATGTTTGATTTCAAATCCATAGCAGTAGTATGGACAACAGTAGATATAGTATCCATAAATTACTTTTAAATTGTTAGAAAATTTAAGAAAACAGAAATAATAAGAAAGAAGAAAATATGACTTTGAGTTATGTTTATAGATACAATAAAAACCTTAAAACTCTTTAAATCAGAAGTAGTAAAATTAATCAGACAAAAAGATTCATTTATAGTAAATGAATAATCATCAATCAAGTCAATTCAAAAAGTCATAACATTCAGTATAATCATGTTTTATTATTTAAATAAATTTTATTTAAACAGTAATATTTTTTTGTTCAGATATATTTTTCGTACCACCATATTTTTCACTGTTCAAATATGTTTATTTAGAATAAATAATATTCTGAAATAAATAAAATAATAATAATAATAATAAAAAGATTTAAAAATTAAATATATTTATCTAATAAGCTCAAATACCCAAATATCTATTTTTGACTTTTAAAATTATTTAACCCATTAAAATTTTTTTATAAAATTCATATGACTTAACTCATTCTAATATTTTACTCAATTACTTAAATAATATAAGTAATTTTTTAAAATAATATATAAATTATCTTTTCACTTAATATAAAATGGATCACATTTTAAACCATCAATACTTCATACTCTGCAACTCAGGCCTCTCTTACTCTAGCGATTCGGCCCGGTCTCACCAAAATGACCCGACGTGAGCATCGGGACCTTGTCCATGATCCGAATTGCCGTCTTTCCAATTTGCGATGTGCCTCCTCCTCTCCTGCGGGACTTCCACTCCATGCTTCTACGTCACCACGTAATCCCTCTCTCCACGATTAGCTCCTTCTACCCGGAGCATTAGAAATCCCCTTTTGCTCACCGGCCTTGGGACACGGGCTCACTCCGATTCAAATTCATGTTGGGCGGGGCCCCGCCCAGCCCATGGGAAGATTTTCAGTCCAATCGCAAGATCCTCGCTGTAATCGGCATATGCCTCTACCCTTCTTCACCAGATCTCGGTCTCGTCATCGATCAATTCAATGCCGCCTGCAAAGGTTACTCCTCTGCTGTCGTTCAACGCTGCTTCGCCTTTCGTCCTGGCGATTCTCAAGTGAGTTCTCAAAATTAGGGTTTTTCTGTACTTAAATTTAATCAAATGCTAATGCCGCCTGCAAAGGTTACTCCTCTGCTCTCGTTCAACGCTGCTTCGCCTTTTGTCCTAGCGATTCTCAAGTGAGTTCTCAGAATTAGGGTTTTTCTTTACTTAAATTTAATCAGATGCTGACATGCTGCTAATTATTATTATTATTAGTTCGAACAATTAGTAATTGGCTGAAAAAATGTTGTGACTTTTGTTTCTGAAACTTTTTATTTACTCCTTGTTTATTCCAATAAACTAAGCAAAAATCGAGCTTTTTGTGAATTACGTGGTCCGATTATTTTATTTTCTGCTATAGCTGGAAGATGGTAAGAAAGAGAGAACTTGGTTTTGTTTCATCTTGCAGACCGTTCGACACAGGATTTTCACTTGCAGAGTCTAACGTAGGCCTAAATCGCAGTGTATAAAGTAGGTTGAGAAATATGTTAATGTCTCATCTGATGCTTGTTCTTTTTCTATTTATTTTCTCTGTTGAAAGCATAGAGTTCAGACAATGTTTTCATATCTTTTTGTCCTCTTAAATTCTTAAATGAAAATAAGTTAAGTGTTTAAAATTAGACAAAATATGGTTGAGGGGAACAAGGAAATGCAGGAACAGATTATGTATTGGCTTTGACTCTTGAGAACTTCCTTGAGCCCCGCTCGCAAACACTTGTGTTCAAGGCTGGTATGACCAAGTCAATCCACTATGCTCGCATGTTGATTAGGCAAAGGCATATCAGGTAAAGGTTTACTTTTTCTCTTATTACACAATTGGTGACCGTTTATTTTCATATTTTGTTGGACAAGTGAAATAGTAGATATAGTTGTCAATGTATTTGAACTTGAAGGTAGTTGTGCTTGTAATTACTGTGTTGATGTTTTGACATTTAGGTTGTACTTAGAAGAGGTGCAATTATTATCTTTTACTGCACATGGTGTATCTGTTAATTATATATTGTTATTGTTTTATTCAATCATGATCATTTCCACGTTTGCCAGCCAACAAGGAATTTATGTGATTGACTGCAACTAGTTTTCTGACAAATTGCTTAGCTAGTTGATGATGTGCCAATTTGCCTTCTGGTTTGCAAGTTGTTGTGATTTATTGCCTTGTGCTTTGTTGCCTTTGCATATTCCTGTATGTGATTTTTGGTTTGCAACTTCTTGTCTGAAAGATGTTATAGATGCTCTGAATGTTGTCATTGATAGGGTTGGGAGGGAGGTTGTCAACATCCCATCCTTCATGGTGAGGGTTGACTTACAAAAACGTATCAAATTCTCTCTAACAAGTCCATTTAGAGGTGGCCGCCCTGGAAGAGTGAAGAGAAAGAAGAAGAGAGCAGCCGCCAAAAAGGCTGCTGGTGAAGATGGTGATGAAGAGGAAGACAAGTAAACCTAAGGCTACTATCACTACTAGGAACCTTTAAAAAGGCTATGTGGAACTTACCATTTCCTCCATTATTAGACATGGTTTGAGTTTTGTTTCCAGACCTTTATTGTAGTGGATCTTAGTATGTGTTTTTCATTTGTTATTATGTTTTTTCCTAGATTAGAAGTTAATTGAGTATTAATTGTGTTGTTCTAAGATTAAAATATTTTAATTGACTTTGTTTCTATCTCTCAAAAAAAAAAAAAAGTGACTACATTTTTATGTCACTATAATCATATTTTATTTTGAAACTTTTTAGTGATTATTATTTTGTGATTACAAGTGCAATTTTTTGTAATAAGAAATAATTTTAATATTTGTGACATAATTTATTTAACATTATTTTGATGAACACTAGTAAGGAAAAATTTGTCACTAATAAAAGTAATTTAAGTGACGATAGTTTTGTAACTATTGCAATACCTTTAGAGTCAATATTATCATCACAAGAAAATCATATTATTGTGATAACTCTTTTTGTCACTATTTTAAATTTTTTAGAGTAAAAAAAAATTGTTATAATAAATTGAGCTATTGTGACAATTTGTTTTAGTTACACGTTCCAATACTTTTAGAGTTAGAATTTATGTAAAAAAATAAATCTATTGCAATGACTTAATAAATGTTGTCACTAATACAATATTGACAGAGTTATTTGTAATGATAAGTGATGACTTTAAAATTGGTCACTATAAATTTGAGTGATTAAATTTTATATTTTTGGTAATAAATTTTTTTTCTTCACTAAAAATATTTTTTTTGTAGTAAAAAATTACTCATATTCATTAAATACTCGTAGAAATAAAAATGAAGATAAATTTAAAATATTTATTAGATATGAGTACAAAAATAATATAATATAAAATTTTTTTTTAAAAAAAATGCTCTTTCTTATATTATACCTACTGACATCCTTAAACAAAGACACTAAACATGCTTATCCAAATGCAATATCCAACACCAACAACTCATCTTACTATAAATTTATAAATATATCTGAGGGAGAAATTGGCGGTGCTATGAGTTCTGGTAGACATTGAAGATTTGCAAAGAATAGGTCAATTTTCATCTAAAATGAAAAGAGAGAAAGAACAATCTGTAATAATCTTTATATGTTTTTGAAATGAAAGCAATCAGTATGTTGAAATCATAGAAAGAAATGGAAAATCTGTTTGATAAGTTACTATCTAAAGTTCACTGAACTTGGACATATACAATAAATTGTAGCCTTCTTCCATCTTAAAATTTTCATTTATTCTTTTCAAAATTCAAATATGCAGCCTCTAAAGTCTATACTAAATTTGAAATTTAATTCTTAAGTATTTTAAAGACAAAAAGATTTTATATTTAAGATACAATAAATTTTGAAATTAATATAATATGTTAAGATTTTATATTTAAAGATTATCAATATATAAATGTTATACATAATTAGTGCATCATAAATTATTATGTTACAACTTAACAAATTTAAAAAGAGTTGAATGGAGAAAAAATTAAAAATGTATATATTTTAAAATTTAATATTATAATATTTTAAATTTATTTATAAATGAGATAACGATTTGTGATGCATTGATGAAAGGTAATATTTATATACTAATCGTAAATCATAAATTTATATATATTAATAAATCGTTTCTTTTAACTTTTCATTACAAATTTTTTTTCTTATTTCTTGAAACAATAAATTTTTAATACAAAAATGATAATAATATAAAATAAAAAATTACTCAAGTTGAATATGGAACATTTTAAAATCTCAAACTATTAATAAATTAGTTTGTGACTCGTACGATATACGAATTAATTTTATTTATTAATTAAAATATTTTAAATTTGTGAAGTTATTAATTAAAATTTATTACAACAAACAAATTGAAAAGACTAAATTAAAATATCTATCAATAATTAAACATTAATTCACAATAAAATATTTATGTAATCAATAGATAAAAAAAATTACTTTGGATCCAAAAAGAAATTTCTTTGGAATATAGTTGATTCCCACTTTTAAATTTATGTGATTCCAAAGCCAATAATTAATGTAATACTCAAGTTACAAAACAGTAAAAAATAATATTTATTGACTAAGCAAAACTTACTATCATTACCTTTATGAAAAATAATATTTTGTGGCTTAATATTCATATGCATAATTCATGTTATCACTTCTTTTACTTAAGAAAAAATGTGTCAATATAAAAGTTGAAAAAATAAATATTTAAAAATTTAAATATAGTAGCAATAATAATTATAATAAACATTATAATAAACATAACCTTGCATGTTAAAAACCATTATTGAGAAATTTCATATGTCCAAAAAACAAGTAGTAAGATTAATGACTAACCAATTATTTGACACATAAATAGAATCTTTGCATAAAGCAAAATTTTTACAAAGTTAAACTCAACACATAATACAAAAAATCTAATGAATGAAATACATATATATTATCTATAAACGATATAAAACCAATTTCTTTATTCAATGATTTTTTCTTGGCATATATATATACCTCCAAATTTTGTTTTAATGTTTGAAAATCTTGATCTTGATAAAAAAAAAAGTAATTAAAATAATTAAAAAGTGAAGCAAATAAAAAAAAAGAGTTAAAAATAAATGATAATGTTAGAAAATAAAATTAACTCAAAAAAATTGACTTAACTTAACTTAATTGTAATATTGATCAAACCATTAAAAAATAATTTGAATAAAAATAATATATTTGTAGGATTATTAGATGTGGAAATACATACTTCATAGTTAACCTATAATTAATGCAAGTTCAATCAAGGAAATATTAAAAGATTTTGAAAATATAAAGGATATAATAAGTAAATTTAATTTGTTTGAATTTTGTTAAAAAAATACCAAATATTAAAAATTTATGAGGAAATCTATGAATATATTCAAAATTTCAAATTTAAAAAAGATATAAGTATATTATTGAAAAATTTTATTTTAAAAGAAATATATCAAAATTATATTTAATTTATATGCTTTACATATAATTAATCTAAATATTTAAAGTAATATACATAGGAAAAAGTGAAAAAGTTAGTAAAACTATAATGATTTAATTAAAAAATATTTTATATTTAAAAGTTAGCCTTTGAATTTTGGATTTAATATATATTGATGACACAAGTTAGTTGAGATTTTTTGTGATTTAAATTAAGTTAAAATTTATATAAAATTGAAATATTGGATAACTTTAATTTTTAAAATTTTAAAATTATTTGGTAAATAATTAAAATTAAAGAATTATCTTATGTAAAGATTGTACATGTAAGTGATCATGTAAAAATGCTTATTTGATTGTATTTTTAAAACTATCTTATGTGTTATCAAAATATATTATACACATAGGATTACACGTTAGCAAATTTTATAAGGTATTTTTGTAAGTATATTATAATATTATATATGATTGATTTTTCATTTAAATTTTGATAAACTTTAATCCATAAATATATTTAAATAATAATTTTATCTATAAATAATATCTAATTAGATAATAATATTTAAATTTTGATGTTTTATACCTTTATCCTCCAAAAAAAAATCTAATCAGATAATTATTTGATAACTCTATATTCAAAAAATTTCATAAAAGTGACCAATATGACTTATTAGAGTTTAAAAGTTATTTAACACAGACTTTATTTTTATTGTTATTTAGTTTGCACTGTGATTTCATCTATATAAATAAATAAAAGCAAATTTATTGAGTTTATTTTCTTATTTGTTTTTAAATCATAATAAAAAATATGTTAACTTAAGTGGGTTCTAATTAAATTTATTATGAATTGAGAAATAAAAAAAATGTTACAGCTAATTTGAAAAAAAAAATCCTATTTGATGGAGTGAATAGTATATTTAGTAAAATAGTACCTATCATAAAAGAAAAAATATGTTAGTTCCTATAATAAGAATAAATTAATAAAAATAGAGATTAAATTAATAATAAAAAAATACGTTTAACTCATATGCTTTATGGAATATTATGAAAGCTATATAACTAAAAACTACCAACAATGAGGGTTTTTCTGAAATTATTCAAGTATTTATATTTTTTTTCAAATATTTTCATAAAATAATAATATTAAAAGCTTATGATAAATATTAATATTAATATTAATTTAATTTTTATTCAAATATATTTAAATCTATTTTTTAAAATTGGTGGATTGTTTATTAAAATTATCTTTATCTATAACTAATATATTTAAAAGTTAGAGATAATGCAATGATTATTTATAAAAAATATTAAAGATGTTGAATAATATTTTTAAAATTTTTGATAAATTTAAATAATCATTTTAAGTGCAAATAAATTTAAAAAATTAAATTATTTAAAAATTAATTTTAAATTGAGATGAGATAATGTATAAGAAAAAAACTTTTATTAAAATTTAAATTGATTTTTGATTAAATTTTAAAATTTTAGATAATTTAATAATTTTTATAAATAATTTAAAATTAATAAACATTTTATATGTCATAATAAAATTTTTTTAAAATTATCTTCTGTGTAAAAAAAAAACTATTTACATAAATATTCATCTCAATAAATACTATCATGTAATATCGAACACCCAAAGCTAGAGGACTAGACTCGAAGTGCATACAAGTACAACAAAAGAACGCCACCAATCAATTGATCAACGAGGCGGTAAACCAGTGCGACATGGATCTCCATCAAACGGTCGTTTTCTCCCGACAACTGGAGATGTAAGCCAATTAGCCAAAGCTCAAAATGAAAAAAGGTCTTTCCTTTCATATTTTGGACTTGTATTTTTATCAAAGCTGTGCAGTTTTTGCTTCATTCTATCGTTTAAAACGGCCAAGAAGAAAAAGAAAAACGGAGAGTGAGCGAACATGGCGATAGGAGTTAAAGCATCGCATTTGACGGTTGTGCCTCAAGCGCTTGCAGTTGCTGGTGCTGTTATGGTATTGGTTTGGTGCATACACTTCAGAGGTGGATTAGCTTGGGAATCTTCAAACAAAAGTCTCATCTTTAATGTAGGTTTTTTGTCTTTCTTTCTTCTCTCTGTTTCTCTTGGGGTTGCATAAAATATTTGTTTACTTTTCTTGTGTTTTTATCAACTCAATTATGGCTTCCAGTAGAATTTTGTTTGATTTCTGGGATTTTGTTTCTCCTTTCGGATTAAATAATTT